ATCTATCTATCTATCTATCTATCTATCTATCTATCTATCTATCTATCGTCTGTAGGACACATTGCGCATGCGCAGGCTAACTTCCGCCCAAGTGCACTTCCTCATTGGGAGTGTTCGTTGGTAGTAAGTGTCCCACAGTTCAGCCACGATAAGTTTCTCACAGTTTTTGTCCCCCCTCTTCTTACTATCCTTGAGTCTTACAGATGTCGAAGCCCCCTCCTAAACCGGCCAAGCCAGGTAAGAATTAAAGCCCGTTGTTGTTTTATTTTTAATGAAAATCTTTACCTAAAACTTTTAGTGCCGTTATAGTTCGCTATGGGCGAGTGGTGAGCTAACTATTACCTGCGAAGTTTTACAAAACCACCGTGAAAAAAGGCCTGAAATTGTGATTCAGAACTGTCCCAGTTATGGGCTTGTGGCCAGACTGGATTGGATGGAAACTTGTTTTGTGTAGCTTCTCTGCCGACTGACGAGCAGCTCAGAGAGCAGCAGGCCTCCGTCACTTCCCTGTTTCCATTGGCCAAACAGAAGAGTGATGCCTCAGGTGGTTTTAGTTGAAGGGGTGATGGTAAGGTCAGAGCCTTCATGAACACCAAGAATTAGTTTTTTATATGCATGTCACTGCGTAAGTATGGCTAAATAAAGTTTATATTCTTGTGTAATTGTTACATGCAGCAGGTGTTTTTAATTATACATACCGGTAAACACTTTTTGTGTGAAACAAACAGAAGTAAAATTCAGTCATTCAGATTTAGAAAAGAAAGCTGGGTTTGCCTAAATCTCGTTTAAATTGTTTCACAAGCCAGACTGAAGGTGCTAGATGAATTGCATTTTTTGTGAAAGACTTTGCTTAAGAATCTGAAACCTGTGTTTTTAAAGCTAAAAGAAACCAAACACTACTTGCATGTTAAACGTAACAAAATTGTATCTAGAAGCTAAAAGTAGCAAAGGGTAAGTTGGAAGAACAAAAGCAAAATGTAGCAAAAGGCTAGCTTAAGTTAGCAAAAGGCTAGCTTAAGTTAGCAAAAGGCTAGCTTAAGTTAGCAAAAGGCTAGCTTAATGTAGGAAAAGACGAGCTTAATGTAGGAAAAGACAAGCTTAATGTAGGAAAAGACGAGCTTAATGTAGGAAAAGACGAGCTT